GATAATCACGAAACCGCACCCGTGATCGATTCGAGACAAAATGCTGCTCCGATACTTTCGTATCGGGCAGCTAATAAGAGATTGCCTTTTGGAAGAATGTCTTTGTCTTAGTCAAAAATTACATATATCAAGACTATGTCTATGTCAACATCGGAATGGCATGCAATCATCTTATATCTACATAACACTTAATGAATGTGACTGCTACCATGAAAAAATATTTAGTAGCCCCATTTTTATCCCTTTCAAACAAACGATTGATATTGTAAAAGCCACAAAAAACGAGCTTGAAGATGAAGCCGCTCGGTTGAAAGAGATTATTCGATTACCGTAATCTACCATGAATAAGCACCACACCCTCTACCCCACTTTTTTAAATATCAGATTAGCGGGAATAATTTGGCTAAAGACTTCATTGCAATTTCCGCTAATCTGACATTTAAAAAGTGGGGTAGAGGATGTAGTGCTTATTTACGGTAGGATACGGTAATCCGACGTCAAATCAAAAATATGGCGAAAAAATGAGGGTACCATGCAAATAGGAAAGGAGAAAGGAAATTAGTAGAAATCAGATAGCGTATTTTCGCATAATAACGCTCATGAGCGTTATTTCGAAAATAGTGCCCCCTAAAGATAATATATATAGTTTCAAAATAACGTTCATGCGCGTCTCAAAATAGCGCGCACCTCATAGTAAGGGATGTTTATTTATATTAAGATTTAAAAATACTTCGGAACTGGATTTAGTACTAAGTAAACCTTCGAACTTCAACAAAAGTTGTTTTCAGAACAACTTTGTTAAAGCTCAAAGGGAGGTTTATCTAGTATTAAATCTAGTACTTTTGGTTGTTTACTTTTATACAAGGATTACATAAATTTTTTAAAACAACGCTCATGTACGTACTCGAAATAACGCGCAGGTGAGTGTTATTACGCGAAAATACGGTATAATGTACACTGAATATTCATGCCTGGCCTATAGTACACAAAAGAAATAGATAATGAGCAAAATTATGGCGTGAACAGTACGATAAAATATACTGGGTTTGAAAGTGTTACAGGCCACACAAAGAAAGTGGTTTGGATTTATCGGGATTCAAGTCTTTTGCATTTGAACATTCTCATTAAAGAAGCAAACGATGTACACCATTACGTAAAGGTTTAATTCTAGGTGCAACTTTCAAGTGCATCAATAGTGACGTAGTTCTTAAGTCGAATTACTTTTTGCTCTTATGTAAATGATAACTTCTATGTCTTCGATTTATAATATGATTTTTTCATGTAGCAGTAGGATCCAATTTTCTGTATCAATAGAACTGGCCTGATAACCCGACTTCAGAAAACATTTCCGAGCATTTATATTTAGTTCCGTGAATATGAGGGATATGTATTAATTAAGTATTTAAACTAAGCTATTCAAGTTCATAAATATTTCTATTGACTCGTTGTAGTGTTTAGGAATGGCAAAAATCATGATTTAGATCGTTATGATTTAAAAATGGTTTACAAATTATTTAAAGCATTTGATTTTTATTATCGATAGAAATCAAGCAAATTGACATTTTAAAAAAATCAATTCCCTGACTTTTACAACTTATATCTCGATGAATTTTAAAGTTATCTTGATGAATTAATATTCAAAAGAAAGCCTAAGATCTAGACTTTCTTTTGAATATTAATTCATCAAGATAGCCACAAAATTAAACGAGATATAAGTTGTAAAAGTTAGAGGATTAATTTTTTTTAAAATGACAATCTGCTTGATTTCTATTGATGGCAGCCCATATACTATATTTAATTTGAACACCGATCTTTGGATGCAATTTTTTTAAAGACCATTGCCATTGCGATTTAAAAAATATATTTATGTCTTCTAAATACATTACGTAATAAAAGATTTAAATCAGCTTTAAATAAAAAATCAGTGATTTATAACATTGTGATTTAAATCATGTGCCATCCCTACTGTAGTCCAAGTCTTAACTGTTCCTTCTTACTGTTCCTGCTAAGCCTATTTGTGCAGTCTGAGGTCCTGTAGTTTGTGATAAACCAGCGGCACCAATTTCATATGTCAGCGATGAACAAATTATTGATGTGGAGGTCCAAATTTGAACGACATCACGAGCATTGGCATTTTATTTACGTTAATTTTTCCAATGAAGGGATTCGAATTAAAATTAATAAGATGAGTATGAACAAACTCAAGTATATTTGATCAAGATCGCAGCTCACCTGTACAATCGCCTGATTGCACGATTATAATAATTTGTTAGCGAGTATAGATATGGAAGACAAAACCTATGAAAATATCCGTGATCTGCAAATCTGATCAAAGATACATCATTTGACTAGGAAACCAGCCTTGGGCATTTTTTGTCTATTTTTAACTGCAATCTTTAATTTGAAAAAAATCAAATAATAGCCAATCAGAAGGTTGCAAATTTAATTTTACCTTAAAATTTATAATACGTACGTACGTATGTACAGTGTAAGAAATTTTAAACCTCAATCTCTATATAGAGATAATGCATAAACTAGTGACACATCGAAAATAAATTTCTTGAATTATCGATTTCAATAAAGTGAAGAATTTAGAATTCTCAAACTTTTTTGCATAGAATTATGTATCAAGGACAATATTTTCTTAACAACTATTCTATATATACTGAAATAAGTCGCTAGAGTTGAACTTTATCTATGTAAAATAACAGGTTTTTGGATCTCCTGCACCGTACGTAAACGGCCATATAAAAATCCTCCCGAATAGACCGTGTGCAGGTCTCAATTCTTTTCAAACATCTAGATTGCATGTTACAAATGCAAAGTGTGTATGCATTCAAATTTTTACTTTCGATGATACAAACTCTTAGCCATGTACTAGACCCAGGTCTACTATAGGTAGAGATACGATCCGGATATCCGCTAATTTAAATTTATAACAAAATTATTATAAAGAATCCGGATATCCGTTAAATTTTAAATAG